ATTAATAAAAACTTCATGCTAAAAAGCAAAATATAATGGGTGCCTTATCATCTGAAAATAAGATTAGATCGCATAAGAAATTGGGAAAAAAATCTATTTCAAAGCACTCTGTCTGTCGTATTCAATGACATGTGCATATATATATATATATATATATATATATATATACCGGTGCTTATTGGAAAGTTTCCAATATCAGTGATAGCGATAACATATTCAGTTGTATGGATATGTCTTTGTTGTGGAGTTATTTTGCAGTGGAGGCTTGTATTTGTACTAAATCGATCCTAAATAGTTCGACGTACAAAACGTTAAGAATAGGTATTATGCAGAATAATCTTGTTGTGGTCGCTGATACTTTCGTATTCGACTAACTGTCGTCCGACATCGACTGACTCGTCGTTTCTCTTACTACTCCTACTTATGTTAGGTGGGAGAGTCTATTAACTATAGAATGGGTGTGTTTCACCATAACAGTTTTTAACCCAGGGTTTCCAGCATTTGTTCCGATCATCCGACAAACTCCGTTGTTTCCTATATATATATATATATATAATATATATATATATATATTATTTAGGAAACCAAGCTTCCTGCTACCGCGGTTTCTATCAATTAGGTATCATCAAGCCGTTTACAAATTGGTTGAAACTTCGCTATTAGAAAAGTCGGTTTTTTAAATATTTTATGTTTTAATTGGCTTTACGTTGTATTTTTTTTACAATAATATATTAATTTTTTTTTAATAATTAGTTTTTTTTTTCAATAATTTCAACTTTTTCTGACAACTATTGTCTTTCTCAAAAGTTTGATCTTTTGAATTATATACATGTACACACAAAGAAAATATAATGGCCTCTTCCTTGTTTCCGAGTCCATCCGCCAGGTTGGGTAGTTAATCCCTATTTGCAGACGCCAGCTAAAGCCTGTTTGTGTTTCTTCAATACCTGCACACGCGTCCAGCAACTACAGTGAGCGGACCTCAGTTGCAGTTTGTGAAAGTGATCGCGCTCAAACGGGCTTTGAGCAAGGTCAGTACGCCCGACATCTCGACCACGCTGACTTGTAAAACTTAGAGGCACGCTTCTCAATGCTCTTTAAAGATGGACATATATCATGGATACAAATGAAGTTATGTGAAATTTAAGACCTGCATGGACTTTGCACTGACCCTGTAGATATTAATGCCATTCTCATTCATTCAATTTCTGGACAGACATGTATTTTTGGCGATGCAACTTTCAGTATTAGCTTTTATATGCGTTCTTAAAATAATACCCACTTTTGCTTCTTGTTTTCTAACACCGACACTGCAATGTCGATGCAGTGAGATGATTTGCTAATCCAAGGTTACATTTTCGCCCACGCACTTTTTTTAACAAATGGTCAATGTCTGAACACTGAAAATATTATGGAAACGAATAAGCAAGTTGTTAGGCAAGTTCACCCCACGTAATCTTACGATAAAAAATCATTCTATTTTTTTTTCTCATACAATGACAGATAATTATGCAAGAAATATTTTTGAAAGCAACTTTTATTAAATATACTTAGCGTCATTTATGTCTTATTTTCCGTGATTAGGAATTATCATTATTTACACTATTTATATTAGGACTATTGTCCTTATCTTTGTTGTTGCTATCACTACATTTCAGTCGTTGTGCACTCCGGCCATCATCAGGTGTATATTAAATAAAAGCGCTCACTTCAGAATTAAAGAATTCAGAGACGAGATAATATTCCCAATATACTTAGCCTAATCTGGCACAAGGTCATATTTTTGGAGTAGCAATTTAACTCTTACTTCTATGTACCCTATCTCTTCAAGAACTGGGTGATCATGCCTCTCCACGACGTTCTAGCCTATCAATCTATTATCCATCACCACTCTGAGTAATGTTCATCCCATTACTATCGCATCCAATCTTATATCTGACTTCCATTTATTTAGGTATGCCATCCGTCGTTTCCTTTTGCTGATCTTCCTGGGAGTGTCAAATTATCCAAGCCCTTTATCCTGATTATGTGTCCCCCAAGTTTTAAGCTGTCGCATCCGTTTTATTTTTTTTTTTTTACTTAAAACTTCCTCGTTGTTACCATGCTCCGTCCATGGTATTCGCAGCTGTAGAACCATATCTATGATGCCTTGAGTCTATTCTCTGTTGCTCAGCATTTACTACCATATAAGTGGATGATTAATGTATAGCACTTCTCTTTGATTCGAAATGAATATCATTGCTTCTTAATACGCTTTTTAGCTTTTGAAAGGCATCTTTCACTATCCCAGCATGCTTTTAAATTTCTATAAAAGCTCCTGATTATGATTTCTCCAACATGAAACTCTCATCTTGTTTCGTTCCTGTTTTGGAGGAACATACATAGATGGTTAGTTCTTTTTTTCTGGCTTTCCTCTCCTACCATGTCAGGTTTTTGTAAACTCATTATATTCATCAACGTCTTCGAAATTAGCCTGCTATCACCAAAGTGACGCATTATATATATTTATATAGTTCAGCTTATTTTGACAAAAAATTGTGATTATTTTGATCTCAGTGAATGCAAAACTTACTTTAGTTCGAAATAAAGAAAAGCGTACTAAACTCTTATGCAATATCAGTCCTACTACATGTGAGTAAATTTTCAATCAGCACCTGACAATCGCATTGCGAATGAAAAGAATATAGATTTATTATTAATATATATGTAAAATAACAAACAAACAGGAATCATTTATCAATCTTGTTCCCAAGCTGCATAAATTTAAGCGTGCTACTAGGTTGGCATCTCGGTCCCATCCTTTCACTGTCGAAACTACTAAATGTAGCCATCTCTTCTTATCGCGCACCTCCCGTTAGTGGAACTCCCTTCCTATCACTCGCTTCCCTGATAGCTATAATCTTCAAATATTCAAATGTAATGTCAATCGACATCATCTGATGCCTTGACCTTGGTCCCTGTTCTTCTCTTTATCCTTTTTCTTACTCTCACTCACTGTAACCCCTTACGTGCAAGTGGCACTCCCTCCTTGCTTTGGGTGATTTGCTTAAAAAAAAAAAACTAACGTTTTTCACTTTTATTAAAGCTTCGTCAAAGAATCAAAAGTGAATCATGTTAGATTGATAAACGTTTTCTCCTAATTTATATATATATAAGAACAGTAAGATATATAATCCGGTGTTCTTATAGATATTTTTATTTTTACAAAATAGTGTTCAATGTAAATTTGCAGAGCATTAGTATTATAAATTAATTGATTTAAAATATGTTTTTTCGCTACACAGTTCTAACCATGTTTCAAAAATGGAAACCAGAAGCTTCGAATTTAATTTTGTAATTAAATTAAAGACATTAGTCCCATTTCATCCTCAAGCAAATTTTGGACTCCAAAATTCGCTTGAGGATGAAATGGAACAAATGTCTTTAATTTAATTAAAATTAAATAAAGCTTTAGCTTCCATTTTGAAACATGCTTAGAACTGTGTAGCGAAAAAAAATTTTTAAATCAATTAATTTATTATATATATATATATATATATATATATATATATATATATATATAAACATATATTGTTAAATATAACAGACAATGAATGTCTATTATGTCTGATCATGAGCCGTATGGTTGCTTCAATTTTGGATGAAAATAAAGATAAATTGTCAAACATTTGGATTTTTTATTATGCTTTTTCTTGATCTAAGATTTCGGCACAGATGAACCATCTTCAGAATGGTCAGACCGACATTTAACTAAAGATAGTCATCATCAAATATGATATTCTGTTATGTCGACGTAGAAGACTCCTATGTGACGATAACGGTCGCTGAATAACAGACGCAGGTCGCAAATTCATGATGCTGCTATATGAAGTCGTACCACGTGAGAGACCGAAATATTACCAATCGAACCATATGTCTCGATGATAAAATATAGTTGTAAGTTATATATTTCTGGGTAAAATTGCTCAATATCAAGGACAAAGGGTCGGCAGTCGGTGTTGACCTCAGTGTCTATTCTAATATAATATGTGAAAATATATAGAAAATAGGAAGGAAATGGTTAGGTAAATAATCCAAAGTCCCTTAGTATTTTAGTTATTATTTTTTAAAAATAGTGCTCGATACAAAAGTAGAGCATAAGTATAATTATTTATTTAAAAGTATGATTCCAAATCGCTACATAAGTTCTCATGTTTCAAAACAAGAGCCGAAAACTTCAATATAATCCTTTAAATTAAATTGAGTTGAAATTAAAATGGGCTCGCTTCCATCTTCAAGCGAAATTTGTGTTGGAATAACCCACAAAAATTTCGCTTGAAGATGGAAAGAAGCCCATTTTTAATTTACGTAAGGTGATATAGAGAGTGGTGAGAGATAGTGTGACTGACATGGTCGAACGTAGAGAGGGAAGGGAAAGATAGGAATGCTTTTACATTATTTTTATTACAATACTTAATAGTGAGAAGGCGGATAAGGATCAGACATTGACCTTTTTAAGAGGTAAACTAACTGAAAGCGGTATAAAGAGAAAAAGGGAGAAAAAAAGTGGAGAAGTGAAGATGTAAGAAGTAGGGTTTTCAAGGAAAGAGAGGGGGATATAAATTTGGAGAGGGAAATTAACTTATGTGGGCATGTATCAGCCAATCTGTAAAAATACACATTTATATATTTTTTTAATTTTTTTTTTTTTGTCGTTTGATTGTAATTTTAGTGTTTAAATTCTCCACAAATAAACTAAGAATTTAATATAAACTTAATATTATATCAATAAACAAATATATATATATATATATATATATATATATATCCGCTGGCTAATGACACTTTTATTATTACAATTTCAGTATTTTCTTGTTCTTTTCTTGTTTGTTTTCAATTTATTTATCATTTGGAATGGTCCTGGTATCCATTTTTCATGGTTGAAACTAGTTTGGTCACCGAGGTTCCGTGGTAGAGTCTTCCCACGTTTACCTTGTAAATTTATCTTGTAATCCTCGAGTATGAAACCCAGACAGCATGGCAAAAAGAGTCACTTTTCTCTCTCTCTCTCTCTCTCTCTCTTCTGTACAACCAGAACAAAAATAAACTTTCTTCCCATACGTAGTGTAGGCCTGAAGAAGTCTGAAGAATTGATCGTCCACAATATTGTGTGAACTACAAATATATCAAAAGGAATAAATTCAGGTGTCAGCAAAGCTCTTTGATTAATTAAGCCAGTGCGAAAGGTAGGTATACAAGGCACATTATGAGAAGCAGACGAATTCGATCAGTATTTATTTTCCAAGTTTATTTTCCTTTATCTCGCCATTAAACAAATCTCTTAGTACTTCATCGCATTCACCATTAAGATTTATTTTATTTTCTCCCAGTCAATTCTTCATGCAGCTCACATTTCACACACACACACACACACACACACATATATATATATATATATATATATATATAGTTTCCAATCCTTTTTTTTATTTGTTATTTTCACGCTACCTACTTCATTTTCCTTCTTTCCTGTGATCTTTTCGTCTCTTCCCTATATATTTTCCATTTGAAAACCGCAAATTAATACCCCAACACAAAGATGGCGTCTCCAGTGGCGGGAATTAGCATAATTGTATTAGGAAAGATTTTTGCTCATCAGCATTCTCTGTGCTAGTTCCGGGTTGCCGGCTATCAGTTTCCTCTACAGAAAAGAATTCAACTTGATTATCGAATGTTAGAAAGCTTTAGTCTCTAACTGTTCGCAATACGCTGATTCTAATCAATAAATATGGTGTTGGGCACACGGTAGGCAGAATGTTCGTTAAGTTTTCTACATTTAAAAAAAAAAAATGCACTCTTTTCCCCCACAATAGATGCCCAGCTCCTTCCTTTGCAGAGATGTTTCTCTCTGTCGCTGTCTGATACGATTTTTCAGCGTCTCTCAAACCGACTTAGCTGTTTTCTGAGCCGACGCCCTGACCTCGAACGGAAAAGTGTATCTCCTCTATCTCGACAATTCCGAATATCTTTTGGCAGTGTTGCATTTAATCTAAGTTGGCTACGCAAAAAGAAAGATAACATTTTGTTTTATCGAACAATTCTTTCACTTTTTTCTTTTTTTTTAATAAAAAATACATATGGGGTTTATGCAAAAAATTCCAGCACATTTTTTTTTTGTTTTGATTTAAAAAAAAGAAAAAAAATTGGCTTCCAACTATATATTCAACCTGTTTTTTTTTTCTTTTTTTTTTACAAAAAAAATGGTAACTGGGGACTTTTAAATATTCTTTTTTTTAAAGCAATTCACCCCAAGTAAGATAGGAGTACTTCTAGCACATAAGGGGTTACAGAAGATTGAGAACAAGAGTAAAGAGGCGTGTTTGAAGAAAGTATACAGAGAAAGACGGGGGACAAGCTCGATTGACATTACACTTGAATATTTGAAGATTAAAGTCATCGGGGAAGCAAGTAAGGGGAAGGGAGTTCCACAGACGGGAAGTGCGAGAGAAGAAGATGTTTAAGTAGAAGGGACGGTTACATTTAACCGTTAAAAGTGAAAGGATAGGACGGAGATGCCAGCCTAGTAGCTCGCTTAAATTCATGCAGTCTGGGAACCAGCGAAAGTAGTTCGTCAAAAAAGTTGCCATGAAAATACTTGTAGAAGAGACAGAGGGAAGCCACCCCTGAAGATGATCTTGGATGAAATTGAAACTACTTGGTGAAATAAAATCTATAAGAATAATTACAGTATCTTTCTTAGTTTTATACCGACACTAAGAATTGTTGGAATTCAGTGTGGGAATTATAGTGTTGTAGTATACCTATAGACGATAATGGGTATGTCTCCATTCATATAAATACAGTAGTAAATACTGTATGTTGGTCTGCAATTGGAGATTCGTCTCCAGCTGTCCTGATCAAACTTTCTGCCTCCAGGCAGAGAGGACCCCAGGTGAACCTATATCGAATAGCAGAGTCTCGTCTCGGGAAACAGATACCCAACCCTGTTTTATACGGGGTCTACAGGGAATTTTTGAACGAGCCTACGGGCTCGGATACCCCACGTTAAGTTTGGCCTTGTGCCACATCTGACTGCGTGGTACGGTTGGTAGATATCCTACAGCTGGAGGTTCGTCTCCAGCTGTTCTGGTCAAAATTTCTGCCTTCGGACAGAGAGGATCCCCGTCCGAAGCTATGTCGAAAAGCAGAGTTTCGTCTCGGGAAACAGCTACCCGACCCCGTTTTATACGGGGTCTACAGGGAATTTTTAGCCGAGCCTACGGGCTCGGATACCCCATATTAAATTCAGCTTTGTGCCATATCTAACCGCATGGGGCGATTGGGAGATATCCTGCAGTTGAAGATTCATTGTGGAATACACTTGATTCCCTTCTAGCAGTTGACTACTACTACTACTACGCGCCGCTGGCGAATCTTATATGTATTGTTCTTGTTCTAAGTATTATCGTTCATTACCAACCTTTGTGTGTTTATTTTATTCAATAACTTTCTATTCTTCCGTATGAGTAAATGAATGAAACAACAGGAAAATCCATAGCGACGCCTTTTGTTGAAAAATCTCTTCCTAAGACATAACGTCTTTTTATTGATGGAATCAATCTAATATGTAAACAGGGAAAAATCTAAAAAGCATCGACAATAAACATCGAAACATTAAAGACAGGGACGGTCAACATGATAACTTAAATTTTGACGTTCGATAAATCTAAATATTGAATTATTTTTTAGTTTTACATTTTTTACTCTGTATTTTATTGGTAGCAATTTTGAAAAGAAGAGAGATAAGATCTTGGAGAAGGGAATTCTGAATTTACCAAAAAGAATTATAAATTTAGTGGGCTTTCAATGAAGTCAGAAGCTATAAATATAAAAACACAACCGTTGTTTATAATAATTCACTGACTGTAATGTTGGAACGCCGTAATTTTTTAAATTATTTTATTTATTTCCAGACGTGTTTGGGCATATAATCTAACCGATTTCATACAGTTTTCTTATGCTTTGATTTTTGTTCTTCTAATTGTTATGACGTATCCCATGTTGTGATAAACAGAACAGCCATGAAAGTTGAACTATTGTAAGAACCTGGACACAATTTTACCAAGGGTGATCTTACGATCAAATCACATTTTTATACACATTCTTCTCAGTAAATTGCTTTCTCTTTTAATTAAAGCATTTTTTTAATCAAAATTATGGTCATACTCATTACGGTGTGTAATTAATGCACTGTGTTATTTTGTATAAGATCTTTTCTTTTTATTTATATGAACTATTATTTAAATTCGTCGATGTTTCTCCTACATATTCTTTTTGGTAATCATTAAAGGTGATAAAGTAACCCTCCCCCCGCCCTTTAAGTATTAGCTTACTATTATGTATTATTTGTAATTATATATACGTATATGCGAGCACAGGCATACGTATCTCTATTCCTGAGAAAACTAAATATAAATAAACTAAATGTAAACTAAATCTGTACCCTTTCTTTTATTGATTGGAAGTAAAATCAAATAGACGGCAATAACCGACATCTTCACTCCGACTGAAAATCAGCCATGATGCATATATTTTCCATACTTTGTGTCTAGCAGGTGAAACAGTATCAAATGTCATATCTCCTTATAAAAAAGCCAAGTAAGTCAGACAGGCGATTTGTAGCTGCAGGCTTAGCTTTGTTTTTGGCTTCTCTTGCTGTCATCTCTTGAAAACTAACAATGATTCACTCTAGTCGTGTTTCATCTCCCACGAGAGAGAAAACAGACGAGCCAGAAGACGGATCAGCAGACATATATATTTATGTGTGTGTGTATATATGTGTCGATGTGCGTGTGCGGTAATTTGTATTCGAGACCAATCAGTATCAGGAGAGAAATTGCCGGCACTACTGAGTGGAAATTCTGCAGATATTCATTTTGACTTCATTAGGTCAATAAGACGCGCAGATACAATAAACTCGGATAGATACTTCTTCTTCTTGGCTTGGCTTCGCGGACGAAGATTCATAAAGAGGGTTGTTTACGTCTACGCCGGGCAAGCTGAAGCGGGACAGGCAACTCCCGCCGCAACAACTGCAATTAAATGTCTGGTGTGGTATAGCTGCTGGGGAGTTCCGGTCCTTCCTCCCTCGGCGTTCGCCTTCAGGTTGGACCTGCGAAGGTCCTCAAATGTGGAGACGGCTTGGTGGACGATTCGGTGCCAGCCTTGACGGTCAGCAGCAAGTGTCGACCACTGGCGATGGTCAATGTGGCAGCTACCGAAAGACTTCTTGAGGGAGACCTTATAACGACTCCTTGGTCTCGGCGGCCAGTGGAGAGTACGCCATACATCTTGGGCATCACGATGGTCCCCCATTCTGGACGTGCCCTGCCCAGCATAGCTGTGGCGGAAAGATATAGCGAGATGTTTAACACGTTGACTGCCAGACGTCAGTTACAAATACTGGCTTCAAACGCCAATTTTGTAATTGCCAACTTACGTAATAAAAAGATTATGAATTGACTTAATGCTTAACGGAGGTCTTAGGATTCGCTTTTTCACACTAAAAGTATTTCTTCGAATAAACTCTTTGTTGGCGTCCGCAGATGAAAATATATCAGAAAATTCCAAGCACGAGATAACTCTTAGTTGCCGCTGTAAAAAGAAAACTACCAACCATAAGTAGACACAACGTTGGCAGTCAATGTTTGAATTAATGACTTTTTGAATTTAACAAGTTTCTCAGTTTATTTAGCTTCATCAGAATGTTTTTTTAGGAATGGATAGAGTCACGGATTGAAGAATCGGAGGACCGAGTTCGAATTCCAGTCGAGTTCATTACATTCACTTAAGTACAAATAGCCTTTCGTAACATATGAATCCGTCTCACTTCCTCCCCAACCAACTACGGGTAAATAGCAACACTGACTAGTTTCTGTAGCCCTCTGTGGCAACCGTAAGAAAATGACAACTCTGAATTCTAAACCTCCAACTATGAGTTAAACAGTAAGGCAGTCTGAGCATTAAAGCCTTGTTTGGCAACTAGACTAGAAGAACAACAACTCTTACTTCAAAAACTGTATGTAGCGCTGTTGAAGTAGATACTATGCATCTAAAGAATGGATCGTGTAATTCGCATTGACACGATCATTCCGACGACGTTCGACCGTACATAAAGAATTGTTTTGTAAATTCTTTGAACAGCAACTAATTTTTCATATCAGTATACGAGCTCCCAAACTGATTTTAGATTACGATCATATCGATTATAACAATGTGAAACTAAAATGATCCTGGTGAAATGGTCTGCATCCGTAAAAGGAGACGGTGTGTATCCAGTAGGATTGGAAGATTATTGTGCATTATAAACTCCTATGTTGAATTCAGAGATGCACCGTTCTCAGATGCACCGACTGAAAATCTTCCCCATAGGGACAAAACCTGACTCTTTGCAGATCTGTACATCTTGAGATGTCCTACTACAGGTACCATACTCAACTGTTCTTGCATCTTCGGATTATCACGTCTCATTGGATTATCAATTCTTTCGATCTTTAAAAAATTCTCATAATGGGAAAAACTTTTCAATTTTATGGAGTCTTGCAAAAACAAATTAAACCAGTTTATCACCCAGAAAGATGTCAAATTCTGAGACGATGGAAACATGAAGCAACGTCAAATATGGTGAAACAACGGGAAAAAATGGGTACCTATGTGGTTGAATAAATCTATGTACAAATATCTATATATTGTCTTTGAAATTTACTTATAAAATGCTACGAACTTACTTTCCACGTAGTATATGTCTCCTAAGCAACTAACGAAAGGATCGTTGGATTCGCATTGACTCGATGATACTGAGTACGGTCGACCTCCATCCGTTCATCCATTTAGACTTTTTTTATTAAATCCTATAATGCGGAGTTTCACTTTTTATGAGTGTGTGTTTGTGTGTGTGAAATGACTATATACTTATAGTTCTATATTAAATACTATTTCGGGATTATCGACAAAAGGATTATTTGACGTTAAAAATAAAATTAGATTCCCTCAA